ATATATATATATATATATATATGTATATATATAATAAAATGAAAATTAAGAAAGTTGCGATAAGCGATAACTTTCCTCGACACAATTGCTGAGAAAGAATAATAGAGCGTATGACTGAAATTAACATTGCAAGTGGTAAAATACTTTATATATCTTTCTAATTAAATCACGAATTAATATTCTGTTGAAATGAAGTAATTTAAAATTAAAACTTTATTATGCAATAAGCATCTCTTACTTTCAATGACAACGCAAATTATTTAATATTTGCTTAACATTTGCATCAACATCTTCAATGCGAAATAGGTTTCAGATTAATGGAGAGACCCATCATTATAATTTCCTCCGTTTTCTTGAACTTCTCATTGTATTACGCGTGCGAAACCATGGTGGACGTTGGATCATGGTGGATTACGAAGGGAAATGCGTCATCAGCATATGTCCACTCATCGTGTGTTATGTTAGCGTTTCTCTCGTTATCTCGTGTCATCTTGCGGTTAATTCTCGGAATGCAGCTTGCATTCGCTGACAATGACAAATTCCAAAAATTAAGCGCAAATATTAATTCCACATTTATAATTCAATGTGCAAAATTCAATTATGTATATATTAATTTGCATATATATCAAAATCATCATTATAGTTTGTTAACTTCATTAAATTGTCAACGTCATTAACATTCGTCAACTTTAATATGTCCGCTTGTTTATTTGTTTGTTCACCTGTTTGCTGTGATTGTTTGTAAACTCGTATCGTGACCGCTTAATTAATTAATTAACTAATTATTAGAAATTGCTCGTCAATATTGTCAAATTGCTCAATTAAGAATTTCTAAGTCTATAAAACAATATTTATTTTAACATAATTTATTTACAAAAATATAGTTCAGCTTTTGGAAAATGCTTGTAACTTTTCAAATTATGAGAAATAATCTGAGAAACGTGAAAAGTTTATAAATTTTAACAATTATGCAATATACTTCTTTAAAAATCTTATTTAAAAATTGTTCAGATAAAAACAGCATTTCTCGAATGCAACGACTCAATAAAATGGTGCCTTTGGGTTCATCTTCTCTGCACTTTATCGTTGTAAAAAGTATGCCGTTGCTTTTCAGGGCTTTGAAAGCCCCCTCAATAGGCGATTTTCTCGCAAGAGAGTGAGATGGGATGGGAAGCATAAAAGAGAGATGCGTCTCAAATATTTGCGGCAAAAAAAAAGAGTAGATAAGCTATCTCAGAAATTTAGATCGTCTAACGGGTGGCGGAGAAAAAAAATTCTCACGCTCTCTCGGGAATTGACAGTGTGGGATCGGAGGCGATCGTAATCTCAATCGAGCGAAACAATGCTCTATAGGTATGGAGAAGTGAGAAAAACGCACGCGTTATCAAGCCGCCGTCATCTCTCTTGTCGATTTAACACTAGTTTAAGAGATAATGACCGCCGGCTGTTATACAAAAGCTCTTCTCGCTAAAATTTCGAAAGAAAATTCTACCTGGAAATCTGCCATTAGGTTTATCTAAACCTGCACTAAACGTCATTGCAAATTTTACTTTACTTTTACGAATTTCTCGAATAATGATTGATTGATAATATTGATTGAACTCTCACAAAACAGAGAAATATATATAATAAATATCCGGTTACTGTATTTCCCTGTAATGACGCAACGATGCAACAGGTAGGCATCCTGCCGCCATCACATTATTTCACATCCACCTGCATCACGCGCAAATTTAATTGTTACGAAGAAAACTGTAATGCGCGATCGTTACACGTCATACGACTTAGGCAAACTGTATTTCTCGCTACAACGTGATTTACGATGCGCTTGCATCACCGCCGCATTAATCGAGGAGAAATTTGTGTACATAAAATTATTATTAAATTAGATTATTATTTGATTAAATATAAAATTATTTGTATTATTTGATTAAATATAAAATTATTTGTATTACGGAATATAAAAAGATAAGAATTAGTCTAATAATTTTTTATGTGATTATTAATTTTTAATATTATTAATTTAATTTATTTAATAATTTATATATTATATCAATTAGCAAATTTCTTTTTTCAAAAATGTATTATCCCTAATTGTAAGTACAATAAAAAAGTACTGTGTATGCACATCTATTTTCTCTCGATTAATAAGGCTAAATAATAAAAGTAATAACGAGATACTAAATAATAAAGAGGAGCATATCATTTCATCAACTTCCTATCGCGTGTTCATGTTTAACTTGTTTCACGGTACGCTCGATCGATCACATTTCTAACAAGCGTTGCGATCGTAAAATAAAAACTATAGTCTCGCTATTATATCGCAATAATCGCGAGACACGAGTGTCAATATTTTTAATGCAGAGAAGAAAAACAAACAATATATAAATTGAAAGTGACCAAATCATAAAATCTCTAGCAGTTTCCCGATTTCACGGCAACGATTTTTATTAACTCTTATTGCACGATTTCGCACGTTAATAGTCAAAAACGTAAAACCATTGAACTATGAAATAAACACAATTTACGTGTATCAAGCAGAAATAATTGTAATGATCTTCATAACAATCGCGTAAAATTTTTCTCAGTATAAAGTAGACAAAGTGAATTTTTATGACAATGTTTTAGATAAATATAATTTTTATTGAAATTAGAATTTTAAAATTAGAATTTTAGAATTTTAAATTAGAATCTTTAGAAATTAAATATATAATAAATAAAGTATGAACAAAATAATTTCGTATTTTGCAATCTTCACAATTTTTCTGCGACTAAAATATACGATGTTGAATATAAATTATGTACAATAAAAAAAACCAACAGTGTTAACAAAATTTACATATAACACACACATAGATACGCATACATATATGCAACGAAATATATGCATGTATATGCGTATGCAACGCTTGACTGATCGTCCATTAGAATTACAGTTATGAAATTATAACACATAAGAATAAACTAGATTGTCGTACCCGCGAAACCGGACATACTGGAAATACCAGTTGTACGTTTTACCAATATATTCCGCTCTGGAAATAATATAATTCGCCAAATCAAGTTGGCAAACGAAGAAAATGCAACTGATTTATAATTTTAGAACATATTTTTGCAACACATCAAGTATACATATATATTTTATATATATATATTTTTTTTATACTTAAAGATTAATTTTTTATTTAATTAAATTTTATTGCACAATATAAATTTTATTATAATAGTAATAAGAAAAAATTTGCTTTCTATTTATTTATTTATTTAACGAATAATAAATGACAACCTATTTTGCTCGATAGAATATAATGTTTGCTTGATAGAATGTAATGTTTTACATTTCACCATGTATATATGGAAGATAGTAATTCACCAGCGAAGCGTTGCATGTGTCAAGAACATCGCGAAAGTCCGTTCCGGCCAATTGCGGATACGCGCAAATTTATTAGCGAGAGAGGAACAATCGAATTCACACGCGAGAATGTAGAAATCGACGATGGGAAAAGCCATGGAAAAATCGTGTCACGGTTATTGGGTCGCATCGATGGTTGTTGTAAATTTTTCGCGA